GAGTAAAGAAAGCCCCCGACTGGAAATACTGACTGACAACCGAAAATAGGAGTAAGCCGTCTTCGTTGAAATGTCGGGATTTATTGTTCTAATAGCAGGGACAGTTTTAGTTTACATGCTAATGTACTATTCTGTATTCAAAGTAGAAAGGTGCAAAAGCACAGCGAAACTGAACGGGAAGACAGCAATTGTTACAGGTAAATTATCTAATTATCAAGACATGATGTGATCGATTCGTTTTACAGTCGCAGATAAGGCCTTACCAAGAATTTACCTACTTAGTTTGAAAAACGCGTTGAATAGAAGACACAAGCAAATAATTCTAAATTTTTATTTTCAGTAGTTTTGTACCGAATTTAAAAACAGTTCCAAACTCATTATATTTAGTTGAGTGCCTCTCAATAGTCCCGTTCAACAATAAAAGTTTACCAAAATGTCCGGCATGGCAGTAAGTTTATTTTTCAAAAGACGCTTTATTAAGATTTGTATCGTCTGTAAACAAGAGGCTATGAGCCCCAATGTAGCTATACATGTAAGCGACCAAACTATCAACATGGCATATCCTCAGAGGCTCAACAAATAAGAGTAACAACCATAATAACTTTCATAAACATCTTGTATTCATAATGGGATCAGAATGGGATCTGCCGACGAACCATGAAGTAGCCTACAAACCAGATAAGCTGACTCGGGTAAAGTTGGAAAGATATTGACAGATTCCAACTTCCGGGATAAATAATGCAAGTGAAAAGTTGTGAAAGCACAAAGTACGCCTTGCCCAAATCATCGTCAGATAGAAAGCGAGCTACAACCTTTTTTATTTGTATTTGTTTTATTCAAAACCAGTCATCCTCGGAGTAACACCAACAACTCTCGCAGCTGGCTGCACGTAAACACTAACAACATTGGTGTTTACGTGCAGCCAGCTGCGAGAGTAGCGCGCTGGGAGATATTACAAAAATATTCAATAACTTCACGATGATATAATGTAGTGCCACCAAACTCACTACACACTCCATTAATGTCCTACAGATTACACTACAACTTGGCTGGAAAGAAAGACACATCATTTTTATTATTTTCTATTCTGAATATTAATCAATAACGTAAATTTGACACAGTGTAGTTTCATCAAACTCACTAAACACCTCACTAGTCTCATACAGAATAGGACTAGTGTTTTTACAGTGTTTCACATGAGTGCTATTGATCCAGAAAGTTCAAATCTGTCAATATCTTTCCAACTGTACCTCAGTGATAAGCTGTAGGAGGACTTTGTGTTCAATAACCACAAAATAACATAAAGAAGCCTACATGGATGCATTGAGGTACAAGACAAATACCACTAATGATAAACCCACTCACTAATGATAAAGGGGATTGGACATGCATAATCTTCGGCTTCTTCCATCCCCTTTTCAAGCCATGCATTTGTATTGTTTGTCACTACATGTATTCTAAAATGTGTGCAGGTTTGAAATAAATTTTCGAAATTGAAACCCACCTCTCCATTCTTCAACATACCTTAATTTCCTTTATTATTAAAGACAGACAAAAAAAAAATTAATTCAGAGAGGGAAAATGTTTTTGCTTTTTTTAGCAAGCAATAGGATAGTCAATTGTTATAATAAAAGACTATGACAATAAGAACAAATACATTTAAAAAAGTGTAACTAAATATGGTTCAGTGGGACACTCTGCCTTATTCAGAGTGCTGGAGGGTGGGCTTCAGCTGCACCATAACTGAGCACAATATGGGAAACCTGGGCTAAGGGTTTTCACTCTTTCACTCTCACACACACACACACATACACACACACACACACACACACACACACACACACACACACACACACACACACACACACACACAATCAGCTACCTAGACAGACGCCTCCTTGAGCTACTGTACAGTTGCTGCACAGTTCTGAGAAGCTCGCTAATGTCCTTGCTACCAATCTTGTTGCTCTTTCTTCCCTGTCCCTCTGTTAGGTTTGGCTTTATTGGACACATGTAAAGTTTTGAAACAAAAATAAATTTTTGGGGGATAATCAAGTTTGGAGGGGTGGGGGGGGGGGGTCTCAGCAACAAAGCCTCCCTTGGCTAAGCAACTGTGTTCAGCATAACACAGTACTCAGATTTCAGTACTGCTGCCATAATGCTGAACAGGACAAGGTTAAAAAAAATGGTTCAGTCCTAAGATTAGTGAGTCATGCAGTCAGGATTTGTTGCCTGCACTGAAAGTCAATGAAAAAAAAAAGCTATTAGCAATGTATTAACAAATGTAGAGAGCGTTGGCAAGTGGTTGTGTCGTCAAACGGCAAAAGATAACATTGTTTAAAGGTGGAAATGAAATGGTCTGTTAAGATGTTGGAATATATAGTCGTGTTTGTATTTATATATGTATATGTACGTATATATAACACACTTTTGAAATCAAATTTTATTCTTACTATAAAAGTAAGCAGCAACACACAGTATTGTTCTACCAACTGACATTTTATGCAGTATTTCCACACAAGACTTTTCAGTTAATATACTTGTTCTTTTATCTAAAATAGCATCACAAGCCTTCAAAATTTATGACAGGTATACAAGATTACCATGTTTATGTTCACCTGGACTGCAACAGTATTGTATTCAGATCTGAGTACAAAATCAATCAAACTTCTGCAGCTCATTCAGAACGTTGCTGACAGTCATGAGTCATGACAAACACATATACCTAAAAATCTTATTACCTGTCTTTAAATTACTAAATGGTCTCGTACCAAAATACATGTCTGATTTACTTGCATGCACATGCATGAATACAATATGAAGACTCAGACCCCTCACATGACCTGAACAAGTTTACTCAGTGTTCCCAGGATCGAAACTAAATTAGGTGAAGCGGCTTTTACGTAATCTGCCCCCCACCTGTTGAACAAACTTCCAGGATATCTGAAGACATATGAAAACAACAGCTCATTTAAATTGGGGCTTGAAACAACAATGTTTGCTGCAGCTTACCAGTACAGTATGCTTACTGTTGGAATAGTTTGCAGCAGTTTTTTTTTTTTATACAGTCCCCTCCAAAAAGAATTGCAACAGAAAAGTAAATTCCCTTGTCTTTGTTGCTCACTGAAGACATTTGGGTTTAAGATCAAAAGATGAGTATGAGACAAGAATTCAGAATGTCAGCTTTTCCTGGTATCTACATTTGGATGTGTTAAACAACTTTGGATATATTACCATTAGTATTATAGCACAGCATTTTTAGATGAGCAAAAGTAAAGGAACAAATAATCTTAGAATAAATAATCTTAAAGTAAATAACATTTCATATTTGGTGACATAACCCTTGTTTGCAGTAACTGCCTCAAGCCTATGACCCATTGACCTCACCAAACTGTCTTCATTTGTGAGTCTATTCCAGGTTTGAAACACGTGCTTTTTCATTTCATGTTTGTTTCCAGGGGGTTTCTTCTTTCAGTCTTCTCTTTAGGAGGTGAAATGCATGCTCTATTGGGTCAAGGTCATGATTGACTTGGCAAGCTAGAATGTTGGTAAGTTTCTGCTGTGTTCTGTTTCCGTGTGCTTTAGTTTCCTTTCATTTATTTATTCTATTGTCCCTCTTAGAACCCTGTGTTCTCCTGCTTCTCTTTCAACTTGACTTACCTCAGTTCCTTCCTGTGCTGTTCACCTGTGTTTTCCGTGTCACCTGCTTTTCATTCAGTAATCACAATTCCCTTTGCTTCTCAAGCTTTTCAGTCCTTGCCAGATCTTTGCCAAATGTTACTACCTTTAGTTCTGGTTTTCTTACTTTCTCCCAGTGTCTCTTTTTTCAGGTCAGTTTCTTGGTTTTGATATTTCAAGGGTTTAGGTTTTCTACGCACATTTTAGTTTAAGTTTTTGTATCTGGCTGTGCTGTGCTGTTTGCTACTCCTTATAATAAACCCCTATTTATTTCCATGGGACTGCATTTTGGCCCACGATTAATTTGTAAGCCTTTCCCTGTAAATTTTCAGACAAAATGTTTCTGCAAAGTTCATAATTAATTCTGCTGCTACCATGATCTGTTGAATCATCAATATAAGTGTTCCAGTAGTGGGCTTATACACCCAAGCCAAGACATTACATCCTTCATGTTTCATAGAGGAGGTTATATGCTTCAGATCATACACAGTTAATTTCTTTCTCCACAATTTGGCCTTCCCATCTCTTTGGCAGAGACTAATCTTTGTCTCATCAAACCATAAGATTGTGTTCCATAATGTTTGCAGCTCATCTCTGTACGTCTGGGCAAACTTCAATCTGGCCTTCCAATTCTTCATACTGATGAGTGGTTTGCATCTTTCGTCAGGTCTCTATATTTCTGCTGACAGACTCTTCTTGGATTTTGATAACTTCACCTCTTCCACTGTGGAGGGTGTTGGTGATGTCAATGACATTTAATTTTTTTTCACAGCTTTCACAATATTTCTGTCATCAACTACTATTGTTTTCTTTTGCCAACCTTTTCAACATATATTGCTCATTACACCAGTAGTTTCTTTCTAATTCAGGAAATTCAAAATCCTGACGCTTGTTTTGCCCAATGTTGCACAATTGCTCGGATTGATTTTTGTTTCTCCTCTCAGCATCAAAATGGCTTGCTTTTCTCGCACAGACGTATCTCTGTTCTTTATGTTGGTTTATTCTCTTTGACAATAAATGCATACTTTATAGGTTTAAACCCGGCTCAAAAAGTAGAATTATGATGCAGACCTATTTCAAGTTTAAACAATTAACCTTAAAGACAACACTTGGTCAACCGGAAACACCAGTCAGTTACATGTTCCAATGGTTTTGCTCACTTGAAAATGGGTGGGTTTAACAAAGGGGTGTGTCCTGAGTTGTTTAATTCATCTATATGTAAATCCATCCATCCATCCATTATCAATACCGCTTATTCCCTCATGGGGTCGCGGGGGGAACTGGAGCCTATCCCAGTGGTCAACGGGCGAGAGGCAGGGTACACCCTGGACAGTCCGCCAGTCCATCGCAGGGCCACACATAGGACATACAAGGACAAACAACCACTCACACTCACATTCACTCCTAAGGGCAATTTCCCCAATCTCCAATCAGCCTAACATGCAGGTTTTTGGACTGTGGGAGGAAGCCGGAGTACCCGGAGAGAACCCACGCAGACACAGGGAGAACATGCAAACTCCACCCAGAAGGGTCCTGGTTCCCCTATATGTAAATACCAGGAAAAAAAGCTGACATACTGAACTCTTGTTTTTTTGAGGGGATTGTATTCCGTCTATGTTTTGTAATGTTTCCAGCTTTTAGTTTTTGTTTGATGATCTCAATTAAATTGTTAATGTCTCTTTTATGCCTTAATTGAATGTAATTTTTTTTTGTAAACCACCTGGAATTGCCTTGCCTTGCGTTACTGACTGACTGACACTTGGTTTGATAAGGCTTATTTTAATCAATGTTTTCAAAGATTGGGAATTATTTCCTTGTCTAGGCAGCAACACTGGCATTGGGAAGTCCACAGCGATGGATCTGGCAAAGAGAGGAGCCAGGGTGATCCTGGCCTGTCGCAACAAGGAGAAAGCTGAGGCTGCAGCATATGATATCCGCAGAGTAAGTACTTTGACTGTTGGAAACCAGAGCCCTCATAGTTTGCTTAAAATACATAGAAAGTTAATATGACTAATATTTGTAGGAGGATATATATATATATATAAAAATAAATAAATGCATATTTAGATAAATATATATATTTAGCTGATACAGTCTTTTTGAAGCCATTCTATTCTGCAATTATTTAGCTGATAATGAAACCCAGATAATGTACAACCCACACAGCGCTCAGCCTTAGTAAGTGTAATGACTAATGGTTGTATGGGCAGTGCTATGGACACAACAAAAAACAATTAGGTGTACACAATGTATTTATCGTATCTAATTGTGCGTCGTTGTATTATGAAAGTTTGGGATATTTTTCTTTCAATACAGGCCTGATTTATTCTTCTTGATAACTTTATCACTGTAGTGTTTTAAAAGGTCATCTCATGTTGTCACTTGCTTGATGGTTACTCTGGATTTTTGATGTGCGGACTCTTGGGCCTTTTAGATCAGATGTATATGAACTTTGTTCATATTCATATGACTTTTAAAAGTAATAAGCACCAGATATTATTTGTTTTAGTGCTAATAAAGACTTAATTTGGGGAAGTGCATTTGATTAAAAATTTTTTTTATTTCCAATCATAAGTATTGTCCAAATTTGGTAAATTTGTGTACTGTTGCCTTTCAGGAGAGTGGCAACAGCCAGGTGGTATATATGCAACTGGATCTGGCAAGTTTGAAGTCGGTTCGTAGTTTTGCAGAAACATTTCTGAAAACTGAACCTAGACTGGATTTCCTGATTAACAATGCTGGTGAGTCTGTGATCAGGCAGTGGAATGTAATATCATGCATTAATTAATATGAGAAGAAAACTTACAAGTCAAGGTAAAGGAAACAAACCATGAACCATCTCTTTTTAAAAAAATTTCAGGCGTCATAGGTCCAGGACGTACTGAGGATGGTTTTGGGATGGTATTTGGAGTAAACCATCTTGGTCCCTACTATCTCACTAACCTCCTTTTGGGCCGTCTGAAACAGTGTGGTCCCAGTCGGGTTGTTACAGTTTCTGCCCTCCTGCACTGCTTGGGAAAAATAGACTTCCCTCAGTTGGTTTCTAGAAAGGATTTAGTGTTTGGTCAGTCAACCTGGAACATCTTACAGGCATACACTGATAGCAAGCTTTGTAATGTGCTATTCATTAGGGAGTTGGCTAACCGTCTGGACGGCACTGATGTCACTTGCTACACCCTGCACCCAGGTCAGTGCCTGCTAGTAATTTTACATTGTTTGTATTTATTCTAAAAAATAGTTTAGATAGTTTAGATATACACTGTTTTACTCAAGCATCCTGGCTTAGACAGGCAGCAATTTAATCACTTATTACCAACTGTTAGATACATTCTTTTTCATACAATTTGCTCCTGTCAAACTATATACATAAAATCTGAAGAACTTAAAACAAGAAATCAAAATAATGTACTTGCAGTTTCTGGTCAAACTGGTGCAGTAGGTCAGACATGTTCTGTCTTTTTTTGTTGAATGCCTATCTGTCATAAGGGTGCTATTTGCAGACTTACCTGTTTACATTTTTGGATTTTGGATATCATCTCTGTTTTTCAGGAATAATTTACACAGAGCTGTGTCGTAATATGAACCAGTGGCTGAAGCTTTTCATCATGCCCTTAGCCAAGCTCCTCTTCCTTGACCCTGAAGGAGGCTGTCAGACCACCTTACACTGCATCCTGCAGGATAGCATAGAACCTTTGAGTGGGCGTTATTTCTCAAACTGTGCACTGCAACAAGCTGGAGCCAAGGGAAGAGATGATGCCTTGGCAAAGAAGCTGTGGGAAGTGAGTGAGCAGTTAACAGGGTTATCACATTAGACTTAAAGTTTTTTAACCAAGTTAGTTCTAATCCTTGTTGAGAACACGTGCCTAACTCAGAAACTCTTAACTGCGCTGAACTACTGTTGTTGGGGGTCTAGCGTCATTGGGACTAGCCAGAGTAGCAGAAATACTATTACCACCATTTTTAAAAAAAGTAGTCATTACATATATTGTGCTTTGACAGACCAAAAAAAAACTACAAAGTGAATCTGAAGTCAAAGCAACAGTGTGATACTTTAAAAACGCATCACATATAAAACACACGCTATCCGTTTGTATTTTTAAATGTTGTTCTCAGCTATATTACCACTGTTGTCAATTGTGTCGCCTGACATCAATGATATTGATTGGCTGTATGAATAAATTCTATTTGTTATGTTTGCAGTTTTATATTTTCTTCTCATGCAATTTTCATTAGGTTACATTTAAGTAAGATTTACTTACTTACTTACCTACTTGTTTTTGTTGCTCTTATCATAAAACACGATCTTGCGAGACCTTTATTTGACAACCCGCTAGACAGGAAGTTTACGGTATCCTAGCAACGGCAGTCAGGTTCAGTTTTCCTGTAGCGAAGACGGTTGCCTTCGTCTTCTACTCCTAATTTGTGACAGTTTGTTTTCATGTTTGTTCAAGCAACGTCTGTAAGTATTTGTTTTCGCAACTGGACATATTTCTAGTAACTTTTACGGTAATTCATATGTTGATGTTAACAACGTTAACAAATACGCGACGGAGCTTAGCCAATCGTAATTTATGTCTATAGGCTACTTGTACAATTCTTGACGTATGTTTGTATATCAGTTTCACAAAATAAAATATTCAGTAAATTCACAAAAAAGAATCTGCTTCTGTGGAGTTGCTGAGTACATGTTTAGCTGCTTGGATAGCTGACTCTTAGTGAGGCCAAGACATATAAAAACACACACTATCCGTTTGTATTTTAAATGTTGTTCTCAGCTCTATTACCACTATTGTCAATTGTGTCGCCTGACATCAATGATATTGATTGGCTGTATGAATAAATTCTATTTGTTTTGCTGTTCGGAAATACCAGGTAACTTTTCAGACCGTTCTTATAAACACCGTCTAGCCTGGGCGATGGTTGGACCAGGGCCGAGCCGTTGCGAGTGTTGTGTCTGCACGGTGTGTGTGCGCTATACGTGTGTGTCCCGCTTTGGGTCTAGGGCAGGGGTGTCCAAACTTTTTGCAAAGAGGGCCAGATTTGATAAAGTGAAGATGTCCGGGGGCCAACAGTTTGTTCGGACATTTTTTAACTACAAAAGTTTCATGCAAATACACACTGTAATAAAACAATTTTCATTGTCACAATTATTTTGGTTTTTCAAATGACAAAATAACCAAATATAAGCCACTCAGGCAGATGTGAACAACTCTAAAAAACAAAAATTCTGCCTTTCATTCATATCTGGAGAGTAAGATAACATTGAACAAACTGTATGAAATACCTTAAATTTACATTAGTTTAAAAATATCTTTGCCGCTTGAACATTTAAAACAGGAGTTATGAGTAATGCAAAGTTCTCTGTTAATATTAAATCTTAAAACAAGTGAATCTTGCTCTTGTCATTTACAATATCTTTCAGAAAATAATAGCTTGTGTCAGATCTACAGGTTCATAACATAAACAGTAATAACCAAATCTTACTAAAGAGTTTAATAAAATAAAGTGCCATAAATCCAAGTGTATAAATGTTTTTTTGCTTTTCACTGTTGATAGTGACAGATGTTACAGTTCAAAATACTCAATTTCAGATTGATCAAGAAACAGATAACTTGCTGACACTAATGAGAAGGGTGATACTGAGATCTGGTTTGCCATGTTTAGCTATTAATATGGCCACTTCGTAGCTTGCTTTGGTTATATTTTCTTTAGACTCGTAGGCCCGCGTGAAGAATCGCTGCTGTGATGCCAGTGCAGCTTGGAGCCGTTTCACTTTCTCAGCACGGTCACTCGCTGTTAGCTTGTCGTATGTGTTAGCATGTTTAGTCTGATAGTGTCTCTTTACGTTAAAATCCTTAAACAAGGCAACCGTCTCTTTACAAATTAGACAAACACAATTGCCTTGATTTTCAGTGAAGAAGTATTGTACTTCCCATTTCTCTTGAAAGCGGCGGCCCTTGCTGTCAACTTTTCTTGTTTTCTTTGCAGTTGCCATGGCAGCAATGAGCGGAGAAACGGTTCGCGGCACCGATGCAGAAACTGATAGTATTAAAGTGGTGCTGCCACCACTTGGTGAAGGGAGGAATTACAGTTTTAAATTTTAGGATTTATTTATTCTGTTTGAGGGGCGTGCCATAAATAATACATTAAAAAACGAAGCTGCGGGCCGTATGAAATCTGGCCGCGGGCCGTGATTGGCCCCCGGGCCGGACTTTGGACATGCCTGGTCTAGGGTCTGTGACGTTGGGGCATTACTGACCCTGGAGGTGCCCGCCACGCTACACCCACGGGATGATTTATTTATTTATTTTTCTCTAGTATTGGGATTTCCCTGCTCCGGCTGCTGCCCCCGCGACCCGACCCCGGATAAGCGGAGGAGAATGGATGGATGGATGGATATTTGTTTCTCTTTCCTTTCTTTTCTTTTCTTTATTTGATTTTATTATTACTATCTATTTTACTTTCTTGGTATTTATTTATATATTTTCAGTGTGTGTGTGAGAGAGAAAGAATAACATTGATGCCCATTGATGGTTTAGAATCCTTTAGACTTACATAATTTACTGTGATGGAAATTAATTTTTTTCCAAGATCCTTACTATTTTGATGTAATGGCGTGGACTAGACTCTTGGTGAGTATACATGGGATGCCTTAGCATGTGAGACTTCAGTTGGAGCCAATTTAGCACAATGAATAGAATTCCTACAACTGAGAGGTAAGAACAGCTATATAACATTTACAAATAATTTGACCTGTCTGACACCAAATGGGAAGTGAGGTGACAACAGAAGTTTAGTCTAAATTTTATGGGTTATGGGTAAAGGTACAGAATATAATTTAACGAACTGTTTTTTCATGTAAAATCTGTCCTTTAAATGATAGATGTGCCAGCTTTCACTGACGCTTACAGACAGATTCACTGCATAATCATCAATCAATCAATCAATCAATTTTATTTGTATAGCCCTTTACAATACCCAAATGGTACTCAAAGTGCTTTACAACAAAGCCATAAAACAATACAAAAAGACATACAAAACATACAGAAATAACAAAAAATGCTGTAGTGGTGCAGCGCTGCAGGGCATTAAAAGCCTTCCAGAAGTACGTAGAAAGGAGCAGATAGAAAGAGGCAACCTAAGAGACCCTAGTCGGAATTAAATGCTAATTTAAAAAAGTGGGTCTTAAGCTTTTTAAAAAAAAGGCTGAGGTCAGTAGTGGTGCGGATGTCAGGGGGTAGTTTGTTCCACAGTCTGGGAGCAGCGACGGCAAAAGAACGATCGCCCCACAGTTTGAGTCTTGACTTGGGGACGTCTAACAGAAGCTGACCCGAGGAGCGCAAGGCTCTGTCACAACTGCGAAAAGTTAAAATCTCGGACAAGTAAGGAGGGGCCAAGCCATAAATGGCGTTAAAAACAAACAGCAGGAGTTTAAAATCAATTCTAAAACGGACTGGAAGCCAGTGGAGTGACGACAGCACAGGGGTAATGTGCTCACGTCTGGACGTGGTGGTTAAAAGTCGGGCAGCAGCATTCTGCACAAGTTGGAGACGGGAAATCGATGATTGACAGAGGCCAACGTAAAGGGCATTGCAGTAATCCAGCCTTGAACTAATAAAAGCATGGATTGCCCTCTCGAGGTCCTGCCGACTGAGAAAGGACTTGACTTTGGCCAGAAGACGGAGCTGAAAAAAGCTTGAGCTGACAACAGAGCTAATCTGTTTGTCAAATTTGAGCCCATTATCAAATGTTACACCAAGATTTTTGACATGAGATTTAAAAAGGGGGGCCAGATTGCTAGAGTTTGTGGTGAGAACATTTGACAAAGATGGAGAACCAAACAGAATGCATTCAGTTTTGCTGTCATTTAAGTGCAAAAAGTTCTGCGACAGCCACTGCTTTATATCTGTGATGCAGTCCAGTAGTTTTGTAAGTGCGGTGTTTTCGTTTGGTTTCAAGGGCAAATATAACTGCAAGTCGTCGGCATATAAATGAAAAGACAGGTTGTGTTTTTCTATAATTGATCCCAGAGGTAGCATATACATTGAAAACAGAATAGGGCCGAGAATAGATCCCTGTGGCACCCCACAAAGCAGTGATGCCTTTGAGGAGCAGTGGTCACCAATTGCGACAGAGAAACTCCTGTTTGCCAGGTATGACCTAAACCACTGGAGAGCGGTGCCACGGATGCCGACGTGCTCTAGGCGGGATACAAGGACTGCGTGGTCGACTGTATCAAAGGCTGCTGTGAGGTCTAGCAGTACCAGCACAGCGGGAATCCCAGCGTCGACAGACAAGGCAATGTCATTGTGCACCTTTAACAGTGCCGACTCAGTGCTATGTCGTGGTCTAAAACCAGACTGAAATTTATCAAGAATAGAATTGATCTCCAAAAATGTCTGTAGTTGAATAAAAACAACTTTTTCTAAAACCTTAGAAAGAAAAGGCAAGTGTGAGACAGGTCTAAAATTGGAGAGCACAGAAGGGTCAAGATGCGTTTTTTTTATAAGGGGCCTAACCATAGCATGCTTGAAGGCTGATAAAAACAAGCAGACTTGGCCCAACGGAGCCCAGAACCTCCTTCAAAAACTTAGCTGGAATAATATCTAAGGGACAGTTCGTGGGGTTCATGCCACTAACCACCTTAGTAAAAGAAGACAAAGAAATGGTCTCAAACCGCTCGAATACAGCAGTCTGTGCCGGAGGAGCACAGGCATCATCAAAAGGCATATTCATATTATAGATATTCTGCCTGACCGATGCCACTTTATCAGTGAAAAAAGACATAAACTCCTCGCAAGTTGCAGTGGAGGCATCCGACAGGACAGTAGGGCATGGGTTAATGACAGAATCACTAGCATTAAAAAGCAGCCTTGGATTATGAGGACTGTTAGCTATTATGGAGGACAAATATTTGGACTTGGCTTCCTTCAGAACTCTCTGGTAAGCAGCCAAACTGTCCCTTAACCAGCCCAGGGATACATGCAGTTTATCTTTTTTCCACCGCCGTTCAGCCTGTCGGCATTGTTGTCTGAGCTGACGGGTATAGTCATTCAGCCAGGGATCTAACTTAGTTTTGGTCGATTTTTGTCGAAAAGGGGCAACAGAGTCAAGGATCGCAGAACATGTTGAATGGAAATTGGAGAGTAGGCTGTCCGGACAAAGGGGAGGAACCAGCCCACAGTCATCAGGCTGCTGAGAGTTTATGAAGGCAGCAGCAAACTCCCCAGCCGTTGATGGAGTGAAGATTCGGCGTTTGCGAGCTGGGGAAACAGGCTTATTGGCAGGTGGGGGGGCAGCAAAGTCGAAAACAACAGGGAGATGATCCGAGATAGCAGTGTCAACTATTTCTCTGAGGGAAACTGAAAGCCCATGAGAGATGACAAGGTCAAGGGTGTGCCCATACTCATGTGTTGGTGCATTAACAGATTGAGTTAGATCAAAGGAGACTAAAAGGTCTTTGAATTCGTTGGCCAGTTGATTTGCTGCACAACAAACATGAATATTAAAGTCTCCACAAATCAGCAGTTTATCAAACTTTGGGATAATCTCATACAAAAACTCTGAGAACTCTTGAAGAAAGTCCTTATTAGATCTGGGTGGGCGATAAACTGTGGCACACAGCATAGGGCAGGTAAGGTTGATCACGAACAGCTGCAGTTCAAAACTGGAGTAATTATTGGCGGTTATTGTCCGGCATCTGAAGCTGTCCTTGAATATAGCAGCCAGGCCGTGTGTGCAATTTGTAAGGGCAAAAATAAAATAAAATTTGGAGGGAGTAAAAGAAAATCCATTAACAGCTTTACTTACATTGTACATGTGGATATCTAATTATAGAATGGTGTATGTCCAAAGAATACTATTTAATATGATACTTTTGAGAAGATTGCAACATGATCTCGACAATGAGTGTTATGTCCATAAGGAGGCAGTAGCGTTATACAGCTGCAGACAGCACAGAGTCTCTTTATGCTGCTATTTGGCTGTTGCTTGGAGCAAGGTTGTTGAGGACCTTAACCCAGCAGACCTATGGATTCTGTTCATTATGAGCCCTGATTATTAACACGGTGAGGTATGAAAGCCAGGTCAGTTGTGTGTGTTAAGAGAGATGCTCTTGTAATTACTCAGTATGACTTTTCTCTGCACCAGCTTATCCTTTAACCTTAGTCATGGTTGGGAGGGACACAGTTCCACAATCAATTTCTATCTCCTTCTGCCTTCAACCATCCTTTTAGTCCCCAACCTTTACCCTCCTTGCTGTCTCTGCTGCATGTTGAAAAGGCAGCTACTAAACTTTAGCTGTACATTTGATGACTGTTTTTGGAAAGCGTAGCTACAAAATTGATAGTTCCCTCAGTAATGCTATTAAAAAACAACTTCTGGTATTAGGAGAAGTAAACGTTTTAATGACTGCATAGATCCCTTTATTCAGTGATGTCTTTGTTATTACCTCATAAAGGCAAATGGATAATAAAATATATCCTGCCTAAAATCATATATCCAACAGGGTTGTGAAGGCAAGCGAGAATGGCTGGCTCTTGAGAGATTTTTTTATTTTTATTTTTAAATTTTGTTGGCTCTAGTGGCCTTTAATGACAGTAGGTTGACAGGAAAGGGGGCAGAGGTAGAGAGGGGAAGACCTGCGGGAAAGGGCCGTGGCCCACGGCCACTCGCTTGAGAGCAGAGGCTCTGCATATGGGCCGCCCGCTCTAACCATTAGGCTACAGCTGCAGCCCCCTGGGGATTTTTTAACAAGATTTGAAGACTCAATACACTCTTTGTGGCAACTTGGATACACAATTTTGCAGGAGGTAACACTGTTGAAGTTATTTGAAAACTATAACAACCCGCCCTTATTTCATTGGATACATTTGTTTTTTGTTCCTTATTTTGAGAAGAACGTATTGTAGCGGCTACTCTTTTGTGATGTCTTCCCCACACTATGTATCAGTAATTTGTCTAAATAGCATACCAGAGCCTTTGTTTTGTGAATTAAAATCTTGAGGACAACTCATTAGTTCACACGTTCACAAACAGAATAATTCATGGCTTAATGTATAATAATTTTTATTGTAATACGATAGAGCTAATGAAGAATTAAATTACAATGTTTTTGCCTAGAATTAAGCCGGGATAAAAAAAATTAAAACAAACATAAATAAAAGTATTTATGTCTAACATAAGTGAGCAATTTAGATTGGGACACGGACACAGAGTAACTTCACAAAGGCATGAATATGAGGTACCAATGAAAAGCTAAATACCTTGGTTAATTATATTAATAAAAATATACCAAGCTAACTAAATGACGGATCTGATATATTCTCTTCCTGTCATGACTTCCTAGATGCATATACTGTATGTACGCTTGTCTTTTATTTTGAAGCCTCAACGACCAGGAGGGTGGTGCAGCACAGCTGGACCTGGTTATGCTGATCACAAGCAGAAGCATTTTAAGGAGCTGTCAGTGATTCATTCCTCGCCTGATTGTCAACCTAAGTGGTACCTTGAGCTCCAATACATTTTGTCTTTCTGAGTGTTTTTCATTAGAATAATATTCTCCACGTTTTCCTGTGTCCTCTCTTGTGGCATCCAGCACAACCCCTCCAGAAGCCAGCTACCATTTCTTCAAGCCTCCACGAACCTGGGACCGAGCTCTGCCATCATTCCTCTGCCCTCCTGTTTGCCCTGCAACAGCACCAGCTCTGGTTTTCCCGGTAACCACTTCTGCCCAGATCTGGTCTTTTCTGCCTTCCACAACTCGGTTTTCTGCAGCACTACAGAACTCTCTATGATAAATCTGTTCAAAGGTCTCCGGTCTACTGAGTGGCTCTCTGCATGTGGGTCAAAATGCTTCCTCGCTCTGTGAGAAAAACACTCAGGCCACCCAGACCCAGCAGAGTCATTCAGGGAAACCTTATTTGAACAAGCCACCCAACTCAACACCCACAAATCTGTACTCCGTTCTCTTTCTGCCCAGCAGGATTCCACCAACCAAAGATTGGACCAAATAAAGAACCCACTGCAGTCGGTCTACCTTTGCTCGCAAAGTATCATCTCCAACCCCAGAATACTTCTCAGGCGAGGTAGGCTCTTGTGGAGTTTCTTTTACTCCAGTGCACAGTGGTATTTAACAGGTCACCTCACTCTTTTTCTAATTATGACGCTAAAATATCATATTTGATTGGACTGTTCCGTGGAAGGGCCTTGCGGTGGGCTGAATCAAGATTTAACAGTTACCTTCATTTTGGATGCACGCTGGCTGAATTCATTACTGAATTCAAGAGGACTTTTGACCAGGCTGCGGACGTGAAGTTTTCCATGAAACTCTGGAAGGTGAAGCAGGGTCGGCATTCTGTGGCTGAGTTCTCCACTGAATTCCAAAGTCTAGCGGCCTCTTCTGGATGGAATTCCAACGCACTGAAGAGTGCATTCATACCTGCTCTAACACTAGAACTACCAGGATTTTTCTGCCTACCTAGAACTACCAGAGAGGTGTCAATTGACCCGGCGGCTTTTCCCGAATACACTAATCACTCATTTTGTCATGGTAATGAGGCTGTTATGGGCCTTGGTGGGGTGAGGGGGTCACACCTTACAGTGGTAACAGCCAAGACAGCTTCTTCCCAGTGTGTTACAGTTTTTCTCCCTTGGTTTGGCTCATTTCTTGAAATTGAGATGTCATTCTCAAAACATGGACAAATCCCAAAACTAATTTGCAGTTCCTCACAACAGAATGGCATTTATCATAACTTTCATCAAATTTCAAATGCTTTTGTACATGTCTCTTTCATTTAGTACATCCTTGCAAATGGCTATGTACAAGTAAGAGTAATAAAGATAATTGTGCAAAGAACATTTTATGAGTTGCAAAAAAATGTGCAAAAAACACATACTAGGTCAGTTGAGGCAGACAAGATTAACATGACCAGGAGAGATTGTTGACAGATACATTTATGATATAATATAGAGATATAGAAGTAAAAGAAATGAGACATATTTCAAGTCAGTATTTCAATAGTGTAATCAATAGTTCCATAGTGCAGTGATTGGACGCTCAAGCCATGGTCTGAATTTTTCCAGAGTTTGTCCCTCTTTTCAGTCTCTGACACTGTTGAATTGTTCATAAAATGTAATGTTGTCAAAAGTGATTGGAATCTGTTGCGGGACATCACATCAGCAACTGGGGAGTTCCGCGTATCTGTCTCCCAATACATACGGGTTCCAGCCATTTGGACCAAGCCCATCCCCCATCCAAGCCCATCCTCAGGTACATGCCCTAGCTATGAGCTGCTAACAGCCACATTTCCAAAACAAAAGGAGTGTCCGCAGGAGGTCCAAAGGGTCAAATGACCCTCTTGTGGGGCTTTTAGGTAAAAAGGTCAATTGACCCCTCCGTGGTAGTTCTAGTGCTAAAGAAGCCCATAAAGATGAACTGGCACTATGAGATGAACAATCTCATTAAATGCACTCATTTCTTTGGCAACCCGTATTGACACTCGTCTGAGAGGAATTATGAGAGGGCCCAGAACCAACTTACTCCCTCTGTTAATAATCCCAATCGTTCGTCTTCTCCTACCCAGGGTTCTAACTACAGTCATGGCCAAAAGTATTGAGAATGACACAAATATTATATTTACACATGATCTGCTGCCCTCTGGTTTTCATGTGTGTATGTTAGATGTTGTCATCACATACAGAAATACAATCAATGCTTGAATTTTGTCAGAATTCCTAGGTTTTCGTTTTTCCACCCGTCTCTTGATGATTGACCATTAGTTTTCAATGGGATTAAGATCAGGGGAGTTTCCAGGCCATGGACCCAAAATCTCTATGTTTTGTTCCCTAAACCAGTTAGATATCAACTTTGCTTTATGGCAAAGTGCTCCATCATGCTGGAAAAGGCCTTGTTCATCACCAAACTGCTCTTGGACGGTTGGGAGAAGTTGCTCTCGGAGGACATTCTGGTACCATTCTTTATTCATGGCTGTGTTTTTAGGTAAGACTGTGGGAGAGCCGACTCCCTTGGCTGAGAAGCAACCCCACACATGAATGGTTTCAGGATGCTTTACAGTTGGTATGAGACAAGACTGGTGGTAGCGCTCCCCTATTCTTCTCCGAACAAGCCGTTTTCCAGAGGTCCCAAACTATGGAAAAGGGGATTCATCAGAGAAAATTACTTTTACCCCAGTCCTCAGTAGTCCACTCCCTGTACATTTTGCAGAATATCAGTCTGTCCCTGATGTTTTTCCTGGAGAGAAGTGGCTTATTTGCTGCCTTCCTTGAGACCAGGACTTGCTCCAGGAGTCTCCGCCTCACAGTGCGTGCAGATGCACTCACACCTGCCTGCTGCCATTCTTGAGCAAGCCTTGCACTGCTGGTAGCCCGATCCCGCAGCTGAAACACTTTTAAGAGACAGTCCTGGTGCTTGCTGGTCTTTCTTGGGTGCCCTGGAGCCATTTTGGCAACAATGACGTTGAAACGTGTTTTGGGGGATAAAGTTAATTTTCTAGGCAAATATTGACTTTGCAATTAATTGCTGTTATGCTGAACACTCTTTTTAACATTCTGGAGTATATACAAATTGCTGTTATAAAAACTGAAGCAGTAGACTTTGTAAATATTAACATTTGAATCATTCTCAAAACTTTTGGCCATGACTGTAGATACCGGAGCCCATGCAAATTGGCCGTACTTGCCTCACCCCAGATGAACGACAGCCGTCGTATGGAGTCCAGGGAGTGCTTGTACTATGGAACCCCAGGTCACCTCATCGCTGCCTGCCTGGTACGTTTAAACGGAAGGCACCGTCTGCAGAGTTGGGGGGGGCAGACGGACCACTTCAGTACCAAGACCCGACTTAATCTCCCTGTGTCCCTTATTTTTAACAACACTTCACTAAATCTTCATGCACTGATTGACTCTGGTTGTGAACAGAATATGATAGATGCTGCTCTAGTAGCCCAGGGTATAATCAAGATGGAGGCCCTTCCCAGCCCTATTAAGACAACTTCCCTGAATGGAAGGGCTCTTCCTCCCATCACCCGTCGGACAGTTCACCTTGAGCTCATCATTTCAGGCAATCATCGAGAGCAGATTCCTTTTTATGTTTTTCCTGTTCCCCATGTGCCTATTGTCCTAGGCTATTATTGGTTACGTCTGCACAATATTCACTGAAACAGTGCCTGTCTTCCTGCTTGCAATCGGCAGTTTCCCCACCGCAGCCTCCCACAGAAGGTGAGATAACAGACTCTCTCGATTTGTCCTCCATTCTTAGTGAATATCACAACCTAAAAATGGTCTTAAATAAACATAAGGCCCAATCCTTTCCCCCTCACAGACCGTATATCTGTGCCATCGACCTCCTCCCGGAGCACCTCTTCCTTCGAGTCGTCTGTATAATCTCACTGGCCCTGAAAGGAAAACCATGGAGGCTTACATTAACGATTCCCTTACTGCTGGTTTTATTCGCCCATCTTAATCCCTTTTAGGGGCAGGATTTTTCTTTTTGCCGAAAAAAGGTTCCCTACGCCCTTGTATTGATTATCGTGGCCTGAACCAGATTACTGTAAAAAACAAATATCCTCTCCCTCTTATCTCCTCAGCTTTCGAGCCTGTTCAGGGTGCCACAATTTTTACTAAGCTTGATCTGCGTAATGCTGACCAAGTGGTCAGCATTACGCAGATGCAGACTAAGTAGTCTGCATCAGAGAAGGAGACGAGTGGAAGACCGCCTTCAAGACCCCCCTTGGGCTTTTTGAAAATCTGGTCATGCCCTTTGGCCTCACTAATGCCCCAGCAGTGTTCCAGGCATTAGTGAATGATGTCCTAAGGGATTTCCTAAATGTTTTTGTATTCGCTTACCTAGATGACATCCTAATTTTTTCACAGGATATCGGAGACATGTGCGCCTTGTCCTTAAGCGCCTGCTGGAAAATTGCTTATGTCAAGGCAGAGAAATGTGAATTTCACTAATCGTCTGTGTCTTTTCTTGGTTTCATTTTTGAGGGCGGACAGGTTAAGACAGACCCTGAGAAGATACGTGCAGTTAAGGAGTTGCCTGTGCCAGAAACCCGAAAACAACTTCAGCGTTTCGCCAAATTTTACAGAAGGTACATCTGTAACTACAGCCAGACTGCGGATGGCCCTCTCATCTCTCACCTCCACTAAGTTAAGATTCACATGGACCCCAGAGGCAGACAAAGAATTCACTCAATTTAAATAGACATTTTCCACAGCTCCTGTCCTCGTCCAGCCCTCACATAAACAGTTCATTGTGGAGGTTGATGCTTCAGATTCAGGGCTTGGTGCAGTTCTCTCTCAATGCTCTGAAACAGATGGTAAGATCCATCCTTGTGCATTCTTCTCTCGCGGTCTCTCTCCCTCTGAGTGTAATTACAATGTGGGAGGTGGGGAACTCCTGGCTATTATAATGGCTCTAGAAGAGTGGCAACATTGGTTGGAGGGGGCTGCCCAACCTATTTTTTTAAACACAACAGTTACCTTTCCTTCAGGTTGGATAGATTTTACAGGTGCACAGCAATATTCAAGTCAGTACTATGATGACACTTTTCCATTACTACCTATTCAACATGGCTCTACACCATATAGGTGGTAAAAAATTATGGCCGAACACAAATATGTGCTCACCGGTGCGTGATGTAGCGCCACAAGCACAAGGCAACAATGGACTTCGGGGCAAATACTGTATAAACCTCACTGTTGGTGTTTGTGTACTGGGCTTTTACAAAGTTCATGATCACAGGAAAAATGAAATCAGACTAAATAATTAAATGAGACGTTTGTTGTTGCCAAGTTTTTAAAAATAGGTTGGGGATGGGGTTTTTTCTTTGCCTTGGCCCTCTTCTCTGCTCCTCCATTCCAGGAGTTATTTAGTGAAAAACCTATAGAGACGGTGTCTGTCCCCCGGTCATTTAAATTTTTAAAATTAAGGGTAAACAGAGGAGTTGTGTATAGAAACCTCATAAAAGTTAAAACCACAAGAGAAATAGTGCATGCAAATAAGAGAGTAAAATGTGGACTCTTAAATATCAGATCTCTCTCTTCTAAAGGTGTGCTTGTAAATGAACTCATATCAGATTATAAGATTGATTTATTTTGTCTTACTGAAACCTGGCTGGGTGATGGAGAATATGTGAGCCTAAATTAATCCACCCCTCCCAGTCACAGGAATACTCACATTCCTCGAAGCACAGGTCGAGGAGGTGGAGTTGCAGCTATCTTTGACTCCAGTCTTGTAATCAGCTCTAAAGCTAAATTGAACTATAACTCTTTTGAAAGCCTTGTTCTGAGTCTTTCCCACCCAAGCTGGAAATCACTGCAACCTATTCTATTTATTATAGTGTACCGACCACCCGGTCCATACTCTGAATTCTTATCTGAATTTGCAGAGTTTTTGTCAACTTTAGTCCTTAAAACGGACAAAGTAATTATTGTAGGGGACTTTAATATCCATGTGGATGTTGAGAATGACAGCCTCAGTACTGCATTTATCTCTCTGTTAGATTCCATTGGCTTCTCTCAGAGTATTCATGAACCAACTCACTGTTTTAACCACA